TAAGGAGTAACGATATGTTTTATGAAATGTAGTGATGTAAAAAGTACGATCTTATGCTTTGGAATGTAGTGAAGTAAAAGTTACTCAAAATAAAACTACTCCAGTAAAGTACAGATACTTGAAAAATGTACTTAAGTACAGTAACAAAGTTAAACTACTTCGTTACTGTCCACCACTGATGCTAAGTAGCTAATCCTGAATGAATACTCAAATGTGAATAAGTTCATTTGGCTTCTTTTGCACTTTCATGTAAGGATAAAGTGTTTGAAGTAACACAGAAAGTAAATATGACACACTTAACAATTTACCACACCAAAACTTCTATATAGGCAACTAAACCACTGCATCTGATGGTTTGCAAGCTTAGCCTACTGTGAAAACACTGTTTCACGAGTTCGCACTTACATATAATCGGATTGAGAAAATAGTAAGCATATTTAGCGTGCTGTCCTGCGGGAGGGCTCCGAGCCTGGAATATAGCCCGAACCCAGAGGACCCCCATCCCTAGTCTGGGATGAGAAAAGTTAAGAGTGAGGAGTTGGGGTGGAAGAGGGATGCCGGAAAACTGTCGTGGGACAGAGGTGAGTTGGCTATATATATATATATATATATATACACATACACATATCTTGCTAGATATTATCTAGACGAGCTCCAACTCTGCTGAATTGAGTGATTATCTGAATCACTCCTCCCGAACCTTGTTAATAAAACATCAATTAAGTTGAATCTACAGAAGTGAAGAGTTTTTTTTTTTTCTCAGAAAACTGAAAGTCATACAGGTTTAGCTTGACATGAGGGTGAGCAAAAATTATTATGAGCTATTTAGTCATTAATATGAGAATGTTTCTCAAAATTATGACTTACTGTGGTGGAAACGGGCCTTCATACTTATACCCTCAGACACTGTGAAATAAAAGAGACAATAAAACAAAAACTAAACTTTACATTTTAATTTGAATTGTGTCACTATTGTTAATAAATAAAAAAGCATTAATAAAAACCTTTGTAAAAACTGTATTTGCATTTTCTTTTTCATGTTTGCCTTTTAATTTTAATATAAGCAGTCTCACCTCGAGATTGCAGTGAAAATGAAATATCAAATCCCCAACTGCATTTTATTTTTCAGTTTGACAGGGACGATGCATTTTCAAAGTGAAAATGAAAATTCAAATGAAATAATTTCATTTCATTTTTAGTTTTGGCACATATTTTGCGTACAGTTTTCGCAGAGACGGAGAGCCGATGAGCCAGGGCAACGGAGAGGATCCGAAAGTCCTAGGCAGAGCAGATGGCGCTGGCGACCGACGCGAAGATGTGGATCCAGGAGGCCGCAGTGGAGCCGGAGCAACCGAGGACTGAGGAGGAGCCGAGGGGATGAAGGAGCCTGACAGAGGGGCTGCCAGACGACAGCGGAGGAGGAGGCAGGAGTGGGTGGGTGGTAGGGCGGGCATTCGTGAGCCTCCGGGCATTCGTAGCTAAACTCTGGATCAGGAGCCCCCTCTAGGCTGAACCCAGGAACAGGATTGCGCTCTGGAGGAGCGGACACTCGAGGGCGTTTTCTAGGAGCAGGCACTGGAGGGCGCTCTGAACTGGATTCGGGGGCTGGAGCCCTCTCTTCTTCGTTTTTGCACATACGCCGCGCCATACTCAGCTCACCCTCAGCCACGGTGCAGGGGGCGGAGCTCCTCACCGCACTCACACCGTCCGCAGCTCTCTCCCTTGTGGCGGGCATTGTTGCCGGCTCACACACCTTGACTGACGTCGTCAGTAGCTCTGGCTCCGCGGCGATCCTCAGCTCTGTCGCTCCGTGCGGCGATGGCTCGTCGGTCGCGGAGGGCTCCGGCTCTCCGTCAGCGGTGGGCTTGGGCTTGGGCATGCGCGAGATTCTCCTGGGAACAGGCGGGGGACGGAGATCCATTTATCGCCAGAGTCCACTCCACAAAGGCGGCGAATTCCGCACGAGGACCATCTTCGGACGATGGCGCTCTACACGCGGTGTTCTGGCTAGCGTCATAGAACGCGCAGACCGCGTCGTCCGGGTAGCTGGTAAGTTCGGCGAGGGCCAAAAACAGTCGGGTATGGTCCTCGAGCGAGCGCTCCCCATGCTCCAGCAGGAGGAGGTGGAATTACGGGCGAAGGAGGGGATCCATAGAACACAATGGAAACAAAACACTGAGGGAAAAAACACGGAAACAAAAACGGAGGGTAGACACATGGAGGTTACTGTTTTTGGTCGGTTCTTCTGTCACGATCTGTGCTAGGAGGAGCGCGGAATGAGGAAAATTGAGACATGGAGTACATAAACAGTCTTTAAAAAGATATTTATAACAGAATTAAGGTCCTATAGCACTTTCAAAGCATAGTTGTTTATTGAACCCTATAAAAAGGATTCTATTTAGTACCAAGAAGGGTTCTGCTATTGTTAAAAGCCGAATAACCCTTTTTCTGCTACTGTTTAGAACAAATTTTCTGAAGAGTGTACACTTTAACCATATTTCCTGAAATTCTGAAATTACATATAAAGATTAAATTGTTAAAAAACGCTGATATAAATTTGAACTATAGTACATTTTCATTTAATTGCAATTAACATGCAATTAAGTGAAACCATAACATTCAGTTCACACTTAAAAATTGATGTGACCAAGTATGGTGTCCCATACTCGGAATTTGTGTTCTGCATATAACCCATCCAAGTGCACACACACAGCAGTGAGTAGTGAACACACACACACACACACACACACACACACACACACAGTAACGGTCACTTAGAGCATTTACGGTAATTCGAGGTAGAATGAGAACTGCGCATGTGCATAGAGTGTGCGCGTCTGGAAGAGAATGAAAAAGGTGAGCAGGAGAACAGATAACTGCTCTACCGACCTTGTACACTTTTCCTTTTTTTTGTTTGTGACCTAAGTTGAATGTTTATTTGTATCCCTTCTCTCACTCCACCCCCATGTATGTGGACGAGTGTGACGATGTTTAAGTCGTTTTATTAAACCCGGGGAAAATACGCCAGCTCTCGCCTCACGTGCATAATTTCCTTGAGCTCTACACATTAGTTTTTCTCTCTGGGCAACAACATTTCAACTCTGCATTACAACACACACACACCGTGAACACACACCCAGAGCACACCATTTTTGCTGCGGCGCTTTGGGGAGCAGTTGGGGGTTTGGTGTCTTGCTCAAGGGTCTCACCTCAGTCGTGGTATTGAGGGTGAAAGAGAGCGCTGGTCATTCACTCCCCCCACCTACAATCGCTGCTGGTACCGAGACTCTAACCCGCGACCTTTGGGTTACACGTTTGACTCTCTAACCATTGGTCAACACATCAATATATGGGTTATCAATAAATGGTTCATCATTTTCAGTCATTACCACACTGAGAAACCATCATTAATCAATCAATACACCAATTATATTCTTTTACAGAATGTTATTTCAGTAATAATTATTCTTTTTAAAAGTATGCTTTTTTTTTTTTTACAAGTTTTCTCAAACCAAGTGGCATTTATTTTACAGAAATGCAGGACAAGCATATTTTTCAAAATAAAACAATAGATACACTTTTTAAAATGAAGTAACTGGACATTTACTCTGCCAACACACCTGTGTAAATGTGAGGAGAACTTCATACATCCACTAAAATAAATTTGCCACAAGTTGGCTTAAAATAATTGCAAAAACGGGTCACAAAAGTGATCAAGCTAGTTCTGAGAAAAGCTCTAGCTTCATTTGTTTGCAGATGCCAGTTGGTTTGATATTTTGTTGATCTAGTCAGTGAAATCAACACTATTTTAAGTGACTTAAGTCACTGTATGCACTTTTAGTTTCATGATAAAACTGACTATGGTAAGTAACTTTATAAGAGCAGATGCCAGACCGGATGCGCAGTGTAGATAAACATGCAATAACAATTAGCATACTTCCACAGTTACAAGGTCAACACATCAATATATGGTTTATCATTATCAGTCATTACCGCACTGAGAAACCATCATTAATCAAACACAACCCCATTCGTAGCCATCTGCAGTGGATGACAACATTCAACATGCCATAAAAGAAGTTTACCAACCATCAAAAGGCCTAATAAACCAGAGGGAATATGAACGGGGCGAAAACACATTTTATAGAAACGCTTAAAAGAGTAGATAAAACACATTAGCTATGCAATCAACATTTCGATGCGATTTCAGGCTAACCCTCCCTGCAGTGCTAAGCCTTGATCCTGATAACGCACAACAGGAGGACGTAACATCAGGCAGCGCACGAGAGCGTCCCGCCACAAGAGTAGCAGCTAATGCGTGCCCGCAGGGCGTCTGGAGACACTATACAGAAAGCCGCTGGGAACAAACACTGCAGATTCATCTCGAAATGCCCCAACACTGCGGCTATCGCGCCGTACCAATACATACGTAATGCGCTTGACGCTATTGAGCTGATGGTCATTTTCAGAGTCGCTATCAGCACTAACAGATGGCCTTGAGATGGCCAACCTTTCTTAGAAATCATGAAAACCTTTATCTAACTCCCATTCAGCAGCGACGGATGCTATACATCGTTGTAATGGCCTTCCGAGAGCTCAATTCACACAGAGAGTTCATGGAAGCCCATCACATGATCTTATCAAAGTTGGGATTTCAACAACTCAAATAGTGTTAGTCAATATCTGTGCTATTTCAGCTCCAATTTATGAGCAAAATCTGACATCTAAATGTCAAATGAAACCATCTCGGGCCAGCTGATATGAGGAGCTACTCAAGCATATCCTCAGTAAATGTCCCCATCGAGTCCATATTATCGGAGCAATTCGGCAGCTAATTCAACGCCACTCAATTGCTGTGATGGTGTTAATGGTGACTATCAAATATGAAGCAATGTGAAACATTAGCATGTGGAATCTGGAATGTTTGAGAGCAAATGCATTTACACAACAAATAGATCAGACTGATTGCACAGAAAAAGTATAATTTATCCTCTTAAAAGAAAAATTATCATATGAAATTTACAGAGAGTGACTCCCGGAGCTATAATGTGCTGTATTATCAGCATCAAGGGCCTTTCTATGGCTGGGTCCTCAAGGGATTTTAATGGCTCTGAGTGGATCTAAAGAATCATATTGTCACGTTGCACACACACGAGGGACGAGGAGATGATGGAGAATATGTTGACAAGACTTTATTTACAGGAACCAAGGGAGACGAACTCAGGAAGACGTTTACACGAAGACGTTCACAGGTAGACGTACAACAGCGGACCGAGAACTAGGGACTGGGAACACTTTAAATACACACAGGAGGAGGGGATGACGAGACACACCTGGGATCCATGAACCATCATGGGGAACACCTGGGACAAATTAAACATGGGAAAGGAACACCTGGGGAGCAAGACACAGACAAAACATGGAACAGAGTCTGACACATATGCAGTGAAGTACATCACTATGTTAGTTTGAATCTTTATATTTTAAAATGCCATATTGATTTAGTATGAGTAATTATATCAAATTAATGAATTATTCATTAAATTAAGCAATAATTATAATTAAAATTGTCAATTTTATTTAGTGTGATTAATCATACTAAATTAACGAAGGATTAAAGAAGTAGTTCACTTCCAGAATTACATTTCTGTCATCATTTACTCACCCTCCACTTGTTCCAAACCTTTATGAATTTCTTCCTTCTGTTGAACACAAAAGAAGATATTTTGAAAAATGTTGGTATCCAAACAGTTACTACCATAGTATTTTTTTTCCTACTATGGAAGTCAGTGGTGCCAATTAACTGTTATAACTGTAATAACAATTATTTGCACACTTTCTAGGCTAAATATAATCCATTCAGAATTTGAATAAAAGTTTTGTTTTCTGTGCTGCTAACGGCCAAATATCCAGTTTCAGGAGTGACATGAAAATCCCTCATCCCTCACATAATTTGTCAAAATAGATGTTCATTAAGCAATGTAAATTGCTTATAGATTAATATAAAAATATTTTAATTTTCGTGTCAAAATATTTTTAAATGCGTGTGCAATTATTTATAAAAGTAATGACTAGTAAATCTTGCAATTCTTTCACTGTACATTGCTATTCTTGTTGTGGTAAAAAGTTAAGTGTTTTGCAGCACATACCCAACCCACCCCCCACTGTGGGAATTCTCACTCCAAGTTCAACTCAAAAGTTGGCAGCCCTGGTGTGAAATAATAAAATAATGTGTTAAAATAATTCCCCTGAACTTCACCCTGATCAGGAGCTGTACATAGGAAATGTGCGCTCATGTGTTTTCAATGCAGCTAACCTTCAGCCGCTTCATGTCATCTACCCACTCATTAAACTATGACAGGTGAGTTACTGCAAAAAGACGGCCATTGTGACACTGTAAAGGGATGAAACTATGGCACCATATGCTTTTTAAAACCTTTTTCATAGGTTTAATGTTATATTATCAGCTCATAAAATACATTAATTTGACTAAACACCAGAGACCGGAAATGTAAAGCATCGTTTCTGTCGGGCGAGACTTCTGCGTTCTGGAAAAAGATGGCTAGTGAAACATTATTACTCTATTTATATATATTTAATTTAATGTAATTTATTCCTGTGATGCAAAGCTGAATTTTCAGCAGCCATTTCTCCAGTCTTCAGTGTCACATGATCAGTGGTGTAAAGTATTTCAGCAAATGTAATTAGTTACTGTACTTAAGTATATTTTTGGCAACTTTGAACTTAGACTGAGCATCAAATATATTAGCAACTTTTACTCTCTACTTGATTACATTTTTGAATAAGTATATCTACTCTTTACTCGACTTTAGCCTACTTTATAATGAGTAATGCAATTACCTTTTACATTTTGCACGGCATCTAACTTCTTCTGCAGCAGTTTAAGTCTGCTACAAAAGAAGTAATATCGCCATAGAGCATTGAAGGTACTAGATCTTCTGAGTTTTGTCCTTATGCAACTCGTCAAGAGGGCTACTTAACGTGAATGTGAGTGCTTAAGTTGCTGAATCACAGATGTTTCATATATGAGATGAGATGAGGCTGAAACCAGCACGTCCAGTGCAAGCAGACTTATTTAATTCTACTATAATTTAATTTTAATATTACTACATTATCCATTAAAAATAACTTTTTTAGAATGATATTGGTTTACTTATCCTGTTTTTGACCACTTAAAGGGTTAGTTCACCCAAAAATGAAAATTAGGCTGCGTTTCAACAATAATGCGTTTTTGTAAGAGAAATATCCATATTAAAAAAAAATCACTTGAATCCCAGAATGTCAGAGGATTTCTATATAAGCCAAGAGGAGACTGGTTTTCCTTTGCTAAAGTAAGGAAACTTTGCTTCCTTTGATCCTGTAAACAAATGTTGGTTTTCATGAGACTCACCGGCGCATGCGCAATGCTGACCTCATACGTCATGCTCCCGGAACTGCTTCTGTGTACAACTGTTGGCGCAAGCTACATTAAAGTGATTATTACGTTTTGAATATGGATATTTTTCTTACAAAAACGCATTGATTCGCTACAGAAGACCTTTGTTCACCCCCCGGAGCCGTGTGAGACACTTTTTTTTATGGATGGGCAATTTTTATTTAAGTTATTTTGGACTGAAGCAATGCAACACCCCGCTGAGTGGCATTAAACAGCTTGAAAGATCAAAGACAATTTTTAATATAACTCCGACTGGATTCGTCTGAAAGAAGAAAGTCATATACACCTAGGATGCCTCGGGGGTGAGTAAAACGCAGCCTAATTTTCATTTTTGGGTGAACTAACCCTTTAAGCTTAACTGAGACTTGAGTGTAGACGTCTAAGAGGCTTTTGGGTCAACCTTGATTTATTGCAATATTGAGGCATTCCGGTTTATTTCTATTTTAGAAAACAGACATGTGATTGCCCTCCTCACAAATCAAGGGTTTCTTGTTTTTCACTGGCATGTCTCGAGTGTTGAGGACTAGCGTGGACTTTGAGCCTAAATTCACTATGAATAAAATACATAATTTCTATTAAAATCAGAAACTGATTATGACTTTACTCAAGTGGTATTAGGATTGGGGACTTGCAACTTGTAATAGAGTAATTTTCACAGTAAGGTATCTATACTTTTACTTAAGTATGCTTTTAAAAGGTATTCTTTACATCTCTGCACATGATCCTTCAGAAATCATTCTAATATCCTGATTTGCTGCTCAAGAAACATTTATTATTTTATCAGTGTTAAAAATTGAATATTTTTTATACGATTATTTGATGAATAGAAAGTTAGAGTATTATATATTCTCATAAAGAAAAAGCATTATATTTGATATGATAAATCATAATAGGGCACTTAGAGTCAGATGCAAACAAAAGCAATCAGAAAGCCTCCAGCCTAATCAACATACCTCTGAAGACCCACTGAGCTTTGAAGTAATTATCTCATCATGCTCGGCTGCACATAACCTCAGGCATGCCTGAGTGAAAAACAGTATTGATCTCAGCATTTAAGAGGAAAAAAGATGGAAATCATAACTGATGAAATTATCCTTTGAGCCTTCACTTGTGTCTTTTGCCTTTTTTCTTAAACAGATCAAAACATTGATTAATTAAACTGCTTTAGACAAAAACACATAATATACAGTTCAAAGGCCCAGACAAAACATGGCAAAATTGAGGTCAACTGAACATCCACAATAGGGCCTATACATTAATTACGTTTATAAACAGAAAAAATATCAGACATTTGTGAGGATTTTTAAACTTTGTTAGAGCACTTGTCTGGATTAGGTTTAGAACAACATGAGGGTGAATAAATGAAGACAGACTTTTTTTTTTCAGGGGAAGTATCCCTTTGAAGACAAGACAATAATTCAAACTGATTGGGTATGGAGAGATACACAATCAGTATAAGGGTATGTTTACATGACAACAATGTACTAAAAACCAAAAAGTTTTTCCTTTGCGTTTTTCATGTGGACAACAACATTGTCAAAACAGTCCTCTTTCACATGGATCCACAAAAACGACTAATCTGCTGCATTATGCATATCAGGCCAGTACACTCTTAAAAATAAAGGTGCTTCAAAAGGTTCTTCAAGCGATGCCATAGAAGAACCATTTTTGGTTCCACAAAGAACCATTCAGTCAAAGGTTCTTTAAAGAACCATCTCTTTCTTACCTTTTTGTAATCCAAAGAACCTTTTGTCAAACAGAAAGGTTCTTCAGATGTTAAAGGTTCTTTATGGAACCATTTAGACAAAAAGGTTCTTCTATGGCATCGTGAAGCATTATTTTTAAGAGTGTTGTTGGTGATGTGACTTTGTAAAGAAACTCATGCATGCCTATACACTGAATTTGTGAAAATGGTGACGTCATGCGCATGTGTATTACATGCGCATGACGTCACCATTTTTACAAATTTGTGTTTTTGAAGTTTACACAGATATGATAATGGTATCGTTTTCAAAAACTTGCACTTTAAACCCGCTTTCAAAATTTTGCATTTTTAGGCCCCCAAAGCGCTGTTGCCGTGTAAATGAATGGCCAAACACATAAAACATTTTTTTTTATTGAAAACGGTGTCATTTAAATGCCCCCTGAGTCAGTTTAAAGTGCCTCTATAGGGCCTTTCGCACCGCAGGAACCTTTTCATAGTACCAGAACTAATTGTGGAACTACCTACTTTTTGGCGTTTTCGCACCGCCGGAACTGGGAGCGATTTTAGTACCGGACTGCCTTTTTCGAGAACCAAATTAGCTCCTATTCCTAGTACACACTGTCGGTGCGAATGCAACCCTTTAAATAGTACTGGGAAATAGTTCGCGCAAAATCGTCCCAGTACTTTAGTACTGTACATTTAGTTCTGGAACTAAAGCGGTGCGAAAGGCCCTTATTATGCCATTTCGTATATTGCCTTTAATGCAGTGTGTAATGTAGCTGTATGTGAATGTAAACAATCTGCAAAGCTGTAAAGTACATGATAAATAAAGTTATTGTCTCCCAAAAGAAAGAATTGACTCTGAACAGCCTAAACGAGTCATCAGTACATCCCACTTCTGTGATGGCTACACGTCACTGAGTAACACATTTGCATAATGCCCACCTATGTTCTATGTTGGCCGGCCGCAAACAACTTGACCCTCAAACACTGTAGCTTGTTCTTGTGGTTAACATCATGTGGAGAAGACGCTGTGTCCTATGCTGCGAAAGATGTGAATTTTTTTTTTCTTTTCACTGCTGAAAGATTAGGCTGCAAAGAATCAGTGGTTAAAATAAATTTTTTCCACTGTACCACAGCAGTACAACCCCAATCTTTTGTTGTGTTCCTGTCATTTTACTGACGACTGCTTCTCTAATCTTGAGGAGTTCAACAGGGGATTCACAAAATGCTTGCTCTTGAAAGATGGATCAGTGCCCAGTTTAGCTGACTCCACTGAATCACGACCTGTAAGTATGATAAATAATAGATGTTTACATTTTCTATCAGCCGTTCAAAATACTGAACAATGGCAATGGTCGTATCTTTTCCGACACACACTGTACGCGGTAGACCAATCACAACAGACTGGGCCATCTGACCAATCACAGAAGAGTAGGCTCACGGAAAGGAGGGGTTTAGAGAGACTGAATTTTAGAACTGCTTCGAACGAATCGTTTGAGAATCGTAAAATGAGGTGATCTTAAATGCATATTTTGAGAAAACGTAAGCGTTTTTTGACCTTGCATGCATGTAAACCTATTGTAGGGGACTCCCAAAACAATATTAGAAACCTTAAAAATGGCATAATAGGGGCACCTTAAAATGAAATCATGCCTACTTAGCCAATATTCTCATCTCTGCTCCTCTTGTTCTTCTGTTGAGCATTTGAAACAGATGTCATCTATACATTGTTTTCCCTACACTCTCGTCATACTGAAATAACTCTCACAATTAGCTGATTTAGCACTGAACTGCCCTCACAGAAAGAGAAAGGCAGAGAGAGTGAGAGAGAGATAAAGTTGCTCTTGTATTATTATGTAACATGGCTCTGAGGCTGGATGCATTTTCTCCTGACAAAGTAAAACAAGCTAAAGTACAAAATGTGCTCCAAGGGCTATCAATGAAAAGGCATCTGAAAAGGTTCTGACAAAGTATTAAATATTTTAACCTCTGCTGTTGAGTGTGATCTTGCCTTGGGCGCCAAGCTTTGTTAGAGACCAGACTCTACTGCTTCAGTCTGGCTTTAGTCACTCTAGCCACTTACAGAGTCTCTTCCTCACACAAAACTACCATATGGCTTTAGAAGACATGGAATATGTAAGGAATAATTGATGATGGGCTGTGGAATTTTTAGAAAACAATGCAGGTGGTGGTACGGACAATGGACCGGAGTCAATTATTCCACTTATACCACAAGTCAAGATATTGTTCATATGGCCTCCTCTCCCTCGTCGGGCCCTTGGAATCGTCCTAACCTACCCCCACCCCCACTGTCATGGCACCCTTGATTACTGCTAGTGAGAAATATCATGTACCTTTTAAATTTCTAAACCACTTTACTGATAAAATCGTCAGAGCAGCGCTGACAACACATTCTGTCCGCATGTCCTCACTGTTACAGGAAGAACAGGCAATAATAAATCCTCATCTTCAGCTGTGATTCCCCGCAGTGTAAGCACAGTACCTACACTCTCAGAGTCATTTTCTGCACAACATGGTAGTGTCATACTGTCTCCTATTTTTTCTCTTGTTCAAACAGTATCTTCACGTTGCTGCAATTCTCATGTAAATTCACCGTAATGCTGAAATCAACATATAAAAATTGCATTGTCAAAACTTAAAATAAATCATTCATATATTTAAAATTAATTTAACTTAATTGTGTCAGATGAGAAAGAAGAAAGAAGTCATATATACATGCATAACATCTCAGAACCAAGAGCAGGATAATCTCACAGCAAGCAGCCTCTTAACCATTTTTTTCCCAGTTATACTAGAGATAAAAACATTCCCTATTCTTTTTAGCCTTAGTGATTTGATAAATAGATATGGCTACACTGTAGAGGCAGCTTGTATTTTGTTGTGCATGCCTCCGGGCTGAATAGAAAAATAAATGTGGTTTTAGATCAGCATGAGCAGCAAACAGCAAAGCAATCATTGAGAATTTCGTTCATGACTTTTCTAGCAAGAAACCAAATCTTGTTGCCCGCATACAACTGACCACATACTGCTCAAATCAACCTAAAATAAAAACAAATGAGCCTGTTAGTTTCTAAATCCATGTCTTATTGAACAAACGATTTAATCAGTGCATGATATTGCAATGGGAAAAAGGGTTGCATATGTCATTTGTCTTTGTGCACACTTCAAAACATTCTCTCTCTGAATACTTGAGACTTATGATAAATGAATGCTATAGGCTGATAATACTCTTTGTAGCTCTGTTGTATTTCAGCTTAGGTGGCCATTGGTTCAGTAGTTGCTTTTTTCAACTCTAATTGAGTTGCTTGTAAAATTCTTGTAACATTTTATGAGACTTTTATGGGAACCAGTGTCGCCCAGCCAGTGATTTTATGGCAGATCATGGACATAACCTAGCACCTTTCATTGTTAATGTGGTTGATACTTCTAATATTTATTGAACTTGTACTCCAAATGTTGCAATTACTGACAAAGGACATAGACTTCCCAGTCCCAGTAAAATTTAAAGCAATATTCTTTACCTTGCAATGTCATTATGATGGTTCACTGACTTATAATAAGGCGAATGGCTGAGAGTAAGCTTGGTGAGTGGGTATGAAACTCTGCAAAAACAGCGCTTTATGGCAGCAACAAACGCACGCTAAACATATTTCAAAATATATATATAAAAAAAAGTCAGAAAAAAAGGCAAAAAAGAGGCAAATATATACATATGGCAATAGCATTTTTTGGAATTGCATTTTCTTGCCCCTGAAATACATTTTGATATTTTGCTATATGGGAACAGCCCAAAATACTGATGACTCATCTTACACTCGTGTGCGTGTCTAATGATTTATCCAATCAAATTCTCTCTAGAACGAGAATATCCCTCACTCTAACAAGTAGCTAATCATGGTTCACAGCCAAACGATTAAATGTATTTCTCTATTAAAGGACCATTCTTTTAAAATATCCCACCCCAACTTCCTGTTTCAAACAGAAATACCTCAGCATGGGAAAGAAAACTGTCAAAGTCAACAACCAACCATAGTCTTCCAACATTGTATCTTGTGTGCGATATTTCACCGCCTGTTTGAACTACATAGGCGCTATTTCGTTTTCAGTTTCTTTTGTTCTTCCTATAATCTCCAGAGATTTTATAACAGTCAAGATCCTGCATAATGGGATGCAATCCACGTCCACGATAGAAAGGGATTATACACCGCGAGCTATATTTAGAGCGGAAAGTTTACTACTTCACAACTTGCTCGCACCTATCAGCACCAAACTGTAACTGTGATGAATTTTAAAGGCTGCTTGATCCTTTTAAATCTCTGTCACATCCGATACATTGAGGTGCCCGCTGGAAAATAAAAAAATCAAGCTGGCTTCCGGAATTGTGTCTGCGCTCAAAAGGCAACCTGTGTAGGGAATCTATGCTTGTGCTGCCTTGGCAGAGATAACCCAAACACTCCAAGGCCTTCACAGGGGATTACGGTGTGTCAGTGCCTGGCGGCTTTGACCAAGAGACCTCACCTTGAGAGAGGAACATTCAGCAGGGGTTCAAATATTCTATCTGGGCCACTGTGGGATTAGCATGTGAGACAGGACCAACGACTGTGAAAGGATTCTGAATTCATCGGAACACCCATTTCCATGGAGCGACTCTCTTGAACGCCGTGGCTTAAATGGCTGAACCCTGGATGTGCGATTAGTGTGAGAGAGTGGCGTTAATCATTTCTTGATGTCTACATCAAACAGGACTGTCAAGCTACAGATGCAGCACTATCCTATGGTATATTAGCATATTTTGAAGATAGCGTGCACATTGTGTGTGGAAGGCAGGGTAAGATGTGCCACTTTGTGCCAAAGCTGTTCTCTAGGCAGGGAGAAATATGGGTCTGCTATCAACTTACCCTGAAGGGTATGCTGTGCCATGACAATACTGGAAATATTTGTATTATTAGTATTTTTGTCTTGTTTTCCAGTAAAAATATATTAACTTAAAACTGGATAAATTCACATACATTATAGATAATACATTATACAATGTTTGAAATATATTTCATATATTATATATATTTCATATATATTTTAGAAGTTAAAAGCAGCTCATGGGTATAAAAAAGCTTAGTTTACCGCAGCAGCTGTCGCGTGAAGGCCTCCTCTTGTGAAGACAGAAGAGTGTAAAGACCATCGACTCTACTGTGCGACTCCACTGGGCAGGGACACCGGCAAAGGATAAGTATCGCTTTTTATTTCTCCTCTTTCCTATTACTTGTTTTCGCTTCTGTTTCAGTTTTTATAACCATTTCTTACTATGTATTAGTAAGTTATTGTTTTTTAACGTGTGTTTGGCAGTGTTATTTTTTAGGATTACTGATAAACTACTGTCATTTGATTTGATAGGTAGTATTTATAAAGTTTCAGTTTTTAGTTTTGGATCTGTTTTTAGTTGTTTTAATACTACAATTGATTGCTTCTGTTGTCCTCATTTGTAAATCGCTTTGGATAAAAGCGTCTGATAAATGACTAAATAAATAAAAGAAATAAATGTGCATGCATGTTATAAAATATGTGCATTAAAGAAATATATTTTTTCAAATACAAAATATACTTCACTTAAACCTTCAATTACACTTTGAATCTTAAAACACACGCTGTTAGATTAATGTTTATATACTATATACTGTATATTTGACAATATATCAACATTGAAAATACATAAAAATGGTCAAAATATGTGGTGAAACATAAATAACTAAAACTTACATGTGAACTTGTATGTAATATTTACGTAAAAATATATTTTATAATATATTTATTTTAGAAATCTATATTGTACATTTTTGTCCATGTTCTGTATATTTTGAAATATATATTTATAGTTTAAAAATATATGTTTTTGCTGTATGGGTTCAAAGAATATATCTTAAATTACATGTTTTTCTTAACACATAATTTATCTT